AGTTTTGATTGTTTCCTAATATAAAGTATTGATCATAATTAATGAACCATATTCATCTTCCATAAATATTCAAATCATAATAAATGAACTCTCATCATTTTCAGAAATATCTTAATTTATTGGGTTGTATTGGTTATACAAATGCGATGAATTGTATTTGAAACAAACTATATATATATATATATATATATATATATATATATATATTAGAAGGGTACTCACGCAATACAGCGAGATATATCTCGATTTTAATATTTTATTATATTATGGATTGTACTTGAATTTTAGTTGTCCCACATTGATGAAGAATTGAAATATTTGAGCAGAATGGAGTGTATAAGAAAGTGGATTGGATGTCTTTGCGTCAAATAATGAGGTTTGCCTTATTTTGAATGATTCTATTTGAAATCTATAACCATGTTTAGAAACCAAACCAACCAAATGATAAAAATTATAGTGCAAATTTAATTATATTATTATAAAGAAAGTGGATTGGATGCCTTTGTGTCAAATAATGAGGTTTGCCTTATAAGTTTGTTTTATTTTGAATGAATCTCTTTGAAATCTATAACCATGGTTATAACCAAACCAACCAAATGATAAAAATTATAGTGCAAAATTAATTATATTATATATATATATATATATAAAGTAAAACATTCGGGTGATGAGGTGGCACCATGAGAATTATAAAAGTAAAACCTTGGGGGTATTGAGGTGGTACAATGAGAATTGAGTATTCTCAAATGGTGAATTGTGGTTGAGTTTTARTTGTYYCACATTGGTGAAGAKKTGAAAGATTTGAACAAARTGAAGTGTATAAAAAGATGGAATGGTGCTTTTGTGTCGAYYAATGATGTTTGTCTCTTAGGGTTGTCTTACTTTGGATGATCTCTTTGAAATCTATAACCATGGTTGGGATCAAAACCAACCAAATAGAAAAAATATTTATCTTTATATATATATAAGAAAACCTTGGGTATTGAGGTGACATCATGAGAATTGCGTATTCTCAAATGGTKAATTGTTGTTGAGTTTTACTTGTCCCACATTGATGAAGAGTTAAAAATTTTGAACAAAGTAAGGTGTATAAGAAACCAACTAAATGGTAAAAATTATAGTGCAAATATAAAAGTGAAACCAATGATGATAATTTGACATCATGAGGTATTTATTTATCTGTCGTCTTGATGTTAATACTATCACGGTTTGACACACCCCTCTAATTACAATTCAAATATTATATCTGATATGTGGGTCATCGACCCCACTTGATATTAATTTTATTTTTTAACAGAAAAATCCATTTTCTTAGATTGATGATGTGGTTCTTCATGCATCGTATTGGACTTCCACTATTGTTGCTACAACATACGTACTTTAATTTTCACTAGAAATATTATAGAACGTTTCTTTGTCGTAACTTCAAAAATGAGATTTCAATTAAATTTGTTATAAAATTAAAATCGTGATTGTCACCTTAGATGAGATTTCAATTAAAACTGTGACTTCTAATTAGACAAACTACTAACATTAGTCAAACATTTGTAGAGTACTTTGCAACACGATTCTCAAGCATAGTTAGATAACTTAAATTAGCATATGGTTCTAAGATTGTTGTCAAATCCTCTTAAAAACTTTTAATGTTAATGAGTAATTGTCACTCACATTTGTCTAAATTTTTTTGGAATAGTACTTCAAATTTAGTCTATAACATTTCTTTTGAAGATGATATTATCGATACCGCGCAACGCGTGGTTAGAAAACCAGTTTTAATTATAATAAAACGCATTTTTAAAGTGTATTTAAATAACCAAATTACAAATTTTATAATGTATTAAAAATATATATCATCAAAAAGATAAAAATAAAAAAAAAATTTGATAACCGGGACCAAGACCGGGACCGGCGACCCATAACCGGTTACAATAAAGCTTGACCGGGCTCAACTTTTTCGGCCGGGACCAGTTATGGCCGGCTATGAAAAATCTTGGGACCGGTTTTTGGACCGTTGGTCCCAACTGTCCAAACTTGTGTTCCAAAAAGTAGCAGTGGACTTATTATATAATAAGAAACAATTACAGTTAATAAATTAAACTTTTCCAAGGGTAAATTTGTCAATGTGGAAGCATGTCTACCAAAGTKATCCTTCTTGGAAACCTGGGAGGCARCCTTAGAATCATAGCATCTTGTATCTGAATAGGTAAATGTGTTGCCACAATTACTATTCCACCCTGGCTTCTATGATCTGCAATCATCTGCTCCAAAAGCTTCACMCCTTCATCATCCAAAGCAACTGAAGGTTCATCCAGCAGCCAGATTGGTCTRTCCATCGCCATCACTCTTGCAAGCTGCAATCTTTTTCTTTGACCCATCGAAAGCATTCGAGCCTTCTCATTGGCCAATCGGCCTAGACCCATGAACTCGAGAGCTGGTAAMGATTTGCCTTGCTTATATTCAAGAACTTCGAACCACTGAACGTTATCCAGAACTGTGAAGTTGCTTTTTATGGCTTCTTTCAATGAGAGCCAGTTGAGTTGAAGCTTGTATTGGTGGAAAACACCTGATTCGGTTATGTCGTGACCGTCCCACAGGATCTCCCCGGATGACGGTTTAGAGAATCCGGCGAGCATACGTAAGAACGTGGACTTGCCGGAGCCGTTTGCGCCTGTGAGTACGAGGGCCCCACCATCATGAATGGATATGTTTGTATGGCGTAAGATTTGTTGGGCGTTTCTCATGCAAGAAACGTTGTTGAGAAGCAGGCGAGGAAGTGGGGGTCTGCGTAAAGACATTGAGGGTACTTTGTGAGTTTGAAATTGGTTTTAGAGTGGATCGTGCAACCAAATTAGGACCTGAAATCAAATAATCAAATAACATTTTTAAGTTGATTAACAAAATTAATTACGCTGTGTAAATGTAAACCAAAGAAGCCTAGTATATCCCACTCGAACGTAGGTGTGAGGGCGGGATGTATGCAGTCTTGTACTCTGCCCTAAAGAGTAGAGCGACATATTCCCAGTTTGTGCAAAAGTGTGAATGAAAAAMAGAACCAAACAAAACGAGCCCAGTCCCGAACCGAAGGTGGGTTGGAGGCAGGGGGTGGGGGAAGATGTAGGTACACATGACCTCTACGGCTCTACCTTAAAGAGTAGAGCGGTTGTTTCATGCCAAATCTTTCCTCCCAAACGTGGGAGGAAAGGGAAGGAAAGGAAATTAAAGAATTTATAATAATAAAAGTATTTATAAAAGTACATATCTACCCATCAATTACACTCCACTATAAAATAAACAAGGGTCTTTTTTTAAAAATGACATCTTTCCTTTCCTTTCTCTCTCGCTCAAGAATATGAAATTTAATTTTCTTTAACTTCCCTTCTCTCTCAAGAACACAAATAAGAAAAGTTATTTTTGTTCCTTTCCTTTCTTTTCTTTTCTTCCCTTTCTTTTTTTTCCTTCCAAAAGTCGAGAACACAAGTGATCAAAATGATTAAAAGGCTCAGTGTAATGTTATGCAGAATAGAAATGACCGTTTGGTAAGTGTTGTGAATAAACAGTAGGAATGACAGAAAAGAACCATTTTAACCCTTTTTACTGTTTTAGTACCGAATGAAAATTGATTGTTTGATAATTTTGCAAATATTAATTACAGAAAAAATATAAATCACCAATTCACCGTATACTATTACAGCATATATCAAATATGAACTACAAACATAGCATTACACGTTCAAAACAAACAACTAACATAGCATTACACGTTCAAAACAAACAACTAACATAACATTACACGTTCAAAACAAACAACTAACATAACATTACACGTTCAAAACAAACAACTAACGAATCATATTTCCTACGTCACAAGCTCAAATTATTGTCTGAAGCTACATTTCTGCATTAGTGTTTGATCAATTACAGTATATTTTCACCTGGAAACGTCATATGCTGCTTTTGGACACTTGGATTTAAGACCACCAAAACCAAACAAACATGGGAGTACCAACTACTTGGATCATACAAACTAAGCAGAAGATATTTTCCATCCAAGCCACCCATTGGTTTACGACCACTGCTACATATACATTCAGGAATCTATTTCATCCTCATCTCCACTGGGTTCCTCTAACAGCAAGTTTGTAGGAAATGTATCACAAGTTTATTGTTTTAGGAAGTGTATCACAGTGTGTTTTCATTATTCTACGAAGTGTATCACGGTGTATCAGGTAGTGTTACTTTACAAAGCGTATCACATAATGTCTTTTCATTATTTTCGTTGTTTTATGATGGGTATCACAGTCTGTATCATGTGTTCATGTGGTGTTCAATGGAATAAGGTTCGTAGGAGAGAGAGGAGAGGAGATTTCTAAAATACCTAAAATGTCTTTTAATTAAAAATTTAAGTCAAAATTACCAAAATTATTAATTCCTAATTTATCATTTGATTTGTGGTCGAGATTGCATCTCATGGTTAGCACAAACAACTGAGTTCTCCCTTGAACGCCCCCTATATGTAATTCAAGCGAAAACTTAGTAATTTGTGATAACTTGAGATCCAATCTCAACCACAAATCAAAAAATAAATTAGGAAATTAATAGTTTTGGTAATTTTGACTTCAAATTTTAGTTAAAGAGCATTTAAGGTATTTTAGAAATCTTATTTCTCCTCTCTCCGACGAACCTTATTCCGGCGGACACCATGTGAACAAAAGATACACAATATGATACCTAAAAATCATCGCCATTGATTAAAAAGAGTACACAAATGATCCACTCTATGATACCCGATATACATACAACATGCACACTGTGATACCCATTGTATAAATTTGATGCCCTCTGTGATCAGGGCCAGTCCTGAGATTTTTGGTGCCTAGGGCGAAAAGTCCAAATGATGCCCAATTAAAAACATCCATGTTTGGTTATTCATAATTGTCTAGCTTTTTCTTTCATAGACTGAGAAATCCATTAGTGTTTTTTGTTCACAGGTGTAATTTTATGGTTGAGTGTTTGCTTTAAAATAATATGTTAAGGTTTCATTAATAAAGTTGTTATAGCCCTTGCAGTTAAACACCAACTCATCTTCTTTGTCTAAAACCAAAATAAAGAGCATCATAACACCAACTCATCTACTTGTCCCCATTTACTACATCCCACGTCTTCTATACAAACCAAAATCAACACTCATACAGGGCCGGTCCAATGGTTTTGAATGCCCTGGGCGGAGAGCCAAAAAGATGCCCCTGCTCCAATGAACCAAGAACTCAAGAAGGCACAAATTTTTAAGGGGTTTGGAACCTAATCAAGCTTCCCTTGCTTCTTTGCAAAGAGACAGCTTTCATTAAATATGAGTAACTCTCGCCCGTTCTTAATCCTAGAAATAACTCATTTGAAACTAAAGTAGTAAGATACCGTAGAGGTCATGTGTACCTACATCTTCCCCCACCCCCTGCCTCCAACCCACCTTCGGTTCGGGACT